TGTCTAGAGGAGTGGCGTCCGGGTAGAGGAGTCCACGGCGTCGGTTGGGCGCCGGCACGCCGCCAACGCCACGCCAAGCGGCGTGCGACGTAAACGCAACCTTGTTGCAATCACACTGTGAATGCAGCGCCGCCGTGCCGCCGTCGCCCAGGCTGGTGCCGAACATGGCTCTCTGTCTCTCTCGCACCCCGAGGGACCACTGTTGTTCGGAGTCGACGGCCTGCAGGCCCTGCCCCTGCAGGGACGGCGAGCACGCCGGTTTATCATTAACTGGGAATAACTCAGCCGGGCTGGCGATAAGGGGTCGTACTAAAATAGCTCTCCAGGTCGCCGACGTCAACGCGCCCCGCCGACGGCGCCGACGCCCCCGCGCACTCGACCGCCCCGTCAGCCGCCCTCCCGGTCGCTTGGCGGGGCCCTCGGCTTATCGGGCCTGGAGGAGCGTTCTGGAGTACTTGAAGAAAGACTACTTCGGGGGGAGGGAGGCACGGCCTTGCTGCGTGTCGCGAGGCGTGTCGTGTAGGCCGCGTGACCCCTTCCTTGTAAAGCGACGATAAATTAGCCGGGCATACGCAGTGGGCATTGGAGCGACGCAGCGACCGTGCACGCTAAAAAATATTTTAGGTAGTTTTTTTTTCGGCTGTGGCGGGGCCTGCCCCACTCTACTCAGTGTTTCCTCGGCGGCGGCGGTTTTGCTCAAACGACGACGTAATCCAGAATCCAGGCCTCGCCTCGCGCGGGCCCGCGGTTGCGCGCCGCTTTCGGTCGGTGCTTATTATTATTTTGTTGAGCAAAAAAAAAAGAGGAAATCTGCTTCTGGGACGGAATAAACGAGAGAAAATGGCGGCGGTCCGCTGCTTCTTACCGCGGCCTCCGCGTTCCATCCCGCGCCCCGCCCCGCCCCGCCCCGCCCCGCCCCGCCCCGCCAATGGAAGCCACCAGTCGGTTAGCGAATACAAAGAGCCGAGTGGAATACAAAGTTATGGATGCGGTTACGCTTTTTCGGTCCTCATTTTCCCCTCTCTATACCTTCCATTTTCCGCTTTGTGCCCGCCCTCCCTCTCGCTCCCTCTCGCTCGCCGTCCCGCTTTCCCTCTCGTTTCCCGCGGCCGCCAGCTCGGCCTGCCCGGCCCGGCCCCGGCCTGCCACCGACACATTACCATACCATTCTCTTGAAGCAGGCATAGCGCCACCGCGCAGCAGAAAGGGAAGGGAAGAGCCCTTGCAGGCCCTGCGCGCCCTGCGCCTTGCACCCAACATAAATGGAATTAGGCCCTCGCTCTTTTTTTTTTCACTCGAAAAAAGGGGTCCTAGGAAACGTGTTTTAAGTAGGGGTCTAAGAAAACATGTTTGAGCAAGAGTAGGCTGAGTGGTTGGCTTCTTCTACTTCTTGTGCCAGCCAGCAACAAGGCCATTAAATTGATCAAACTGTCAGCAAGCATAGGTTTTTTCAATTTCAGTTTTCTTTTGCTAGGGCGAGCAAAATTTTTCAAAAGCAATTAAATTTGAAACGTCCCGCTCATCGCCTCGTTGACATACTCGATTCCAACCAGCGACCACAAATCAAGATGGAGTAAATGTCTTTGGGTTCAAGTCTGAACACGTCAACGTTTTTGGTGTAGGTAGACTTTCGTAGTCGGTCATTACAATTATTTTTATTAAAATCACGCGGTCTGACTCTTATTACTTTCCCTCTCCTACTTTCCAATTCCAATCACTGCGGTCGTGCTCGCAACGAGAGGGCGCCTTCGGGCAAGCCGAGGGGGAAAGCACTCGCGTAATAGTCGGGTCACCGATTCCTAGTATTACGCGTAATAGTAATAGCGTAATAGCCAAATTTTTTAAAATTTGCCCTACTTAGGGTCCGATTTTAGCCTAAATTTGGATATTTTCGAGCGTAAGAAGCCTTCTGTAATAGCGTAATAAACGTAATAGGGAGTAGTCGGTTCACAGTTTTTAAGAGTGATTTCCCCCTCGGGGAAAGCCTTCGGGCTGCTTACCCTGACTCGACGCGAGGTGCTCCACTGCTAGGCTGCTAGGCTGCGCTAGGCGGGCTGTTGCTGCTGCTGACACGGGGCGCCGCTTGTCGCCGCAGCTGCCACTCCGTTGCAGAGTGTGCACACCGCACCTGCGGTACCCACGGCACCTGCAGCTGCAGCCGGCAGCGCGGCGTCAGCGCAGCAGCGCAGCTTCAGCGGTCCTAGCCAGAGAGGCGGGCGCGCGGGGCGCGCGGGCCGGCGGGGCGCGTCGGGCAGCCGACGGCCGGACGCGGGGGCGGCGGACGCGCGGCCCGCCACATGCCCCCGCTATCACTGCACGCACTTCACAATCACTGCACACTCACACTCACTCGCGGGATCACTGACACTACGGCACGAGGCGCGAGGCGGTTAATCAAACACGAGTTGATTGGGGGGTCGCGGCCGCGGCGGGGTAGCAGTGCGTGCTGGGAGCGCTGGCAGTCGGCGTGGGGGAGTGCCGGGGCGTGCAGCGTGCAGCCACAAGCCGCGCCGAACCACGCCGAACGCCCAACACAGACTGAGCGCGCAGCGCGCAGCGCGCGGAGCGGCCAGCGGCACGGGCGCAGCGCGCAGCCCTCTACCCCCAGCAGCGCCAGCAGCGCCAGCAGCGCGCGGCCCTGGGGGTGGCGGCGTGGCGGCCGGCGGGGCGGCGGGACTGCGTGGCGTCGCTGCGTCTGCGGCCGGCTCCAGCGGCGTACAGCGTGGACCTCGCCGCCAGGGCACCGCGACCAGGAACACCGGGGAGGGCGTGAACCGACCACCGCCCCGGTCGTCAGCAACATTGACAGTGTCCCCGGCGGCCGGCTGGCTGGACGCTGGCTGGACGCCCTGGACAACCCCAAGCGCGGCACTGGGTGCGCGGCAGCGAGCTGTCCCGAATAATTGTCTAATACAGTATGCATGTCCAAGGCCCGGCAGCGCCGCTGCGCGCCGTGTCGCCAGGCACGCCAGCAGTTTCCAGCAGCCCGCCCTGAGGCCCGGGGCCCTCGTTAGAACGCCGAAAACGTTTCAATAACTTGGGGCGGTCGGCCGCTGACGGGCGGAGGGGGGAGGGGGGGGCGGCATCGTCCATCCCGAGGCGAAGAGCCGGCGGCGAGCGCGGCGCGGCGCCGGCGGCCCTTTCCTGGAATTCCGCGAGTTGTGTGCGAGCAGCAAATTGACGTTCGCTGTCGTAATACCGTGCGCGCAAGTACCGTGCTCGTACTTACAGCGCGCCCCGTCAAAGTGCACCCGCGCCGAGAGCGCGTGGTGTGCGGTGCGGTGTGCGGCCGCTCAGGTGCCGATTGTTTGCAACTTCCCCCTCCCTCTCCACCGCCACCCTCCCCTCCCCTAGCGTAGACGGGTAGACTCCGGAGAAAGCAATATCGAACTCGGTGCAGCCCGAGAGCTGCGCCATCAACGAAAGCACTCACTTGACTTGGGGCGGCAAGGCGGCAAGCAGAGGCCGACCCAACGTCGCCGTGACCGCGAGGCTGGGCCAAGGGCTGGGCCTTCCCCAGCAGAGCGTCGCGGACGACCGCGAGCGGCGAAACCAAAGCAATCAACTGCCCCTTAAATTTTTCATGCCCCCTTCTACGTGCCACGCACATTGTTTTGTTTGGCCCTTTAATGGTGGGTCGGAAATGGGCCTCTGCAGTCGCACCCCCACTGGAAGAATCGACAAAACGGCGTGCTTGGCCCGTACACGCCGGCCTTACTTTTCGAAACCTCAGCGTGGTCCTTTTTCTGTTTCCTCTTGTCTCATTAGTCCAGAACACGACCTGTCCTGCTGCCCCCCCCCCCCCTTTTCCTCCCGGCACACAACACGCCGCCCTACGCGCAGCAGCAGCAGCCCGGAGGCATTTTCCATTCCGTTCCCAGTTTCGCATGTCGAGTGCGTCCCTTTCCTCCAGTCCCTTCCCTCCCTTCCCTTCTCCTCCACTGCAGCCCGCATCCCCACCGTGGCGAGGCGAGGGCCCCACACGGTGGGCCCCACACGCTACACAACCATTAGCGCCGCCAAAAGTGCCAACGGTTATTAACGCTAAGAATGCTTTCCCAGGAGGGTCTTCTTCTTCGGGTTCTTCTTCCTCCTCCTGCTCCTCTTCTTCTCGCCATTGGCCCAGCTCTACACTGAAAATTTTTCTAAAGTGTCGGGACTGAAAAGAAAACTTTGAAGGGCATCATATCCTTTTTCAAAACAAATCCGTCGCGAGTTTTTCTGGAAAACTAATGCCAGGGGAAGGGAGCGGGGTGGCCCGGACTGCCGGCAGGTTGTTGATCATGGCAGATGAAACAACACGATCGACGACTCGGAGGGACGGGGGCGGGGGTGGGTTCGCCTCCCTCCTCCTCCGGCCCGAATTCTTATGTAGGGCCGTGTGTGTTTGGGACAGTGGACACGCCGTGACTGCCCTGCCCACGACGACCGCCTCGGTAAAGAGGGGAGCGTGGAGTCCTGCGTGGCGCAGCGCCTTGCCAGGGCAGCCAGGCCTCCCTCCCCTTGTGGCTTCCGTCCCCCTTGTGCCTTGTGCTGCGGTGTGTGTCCATGGTGTGTTCGGCCGAGCGAAAGTTGGTCGGCGCCCAGTATTTCTGATTCCGAAAACAGTGCTCTCGTCGCTTTCTCTCCCACCCCTGCGGAGCGACTATGAGAGTAAGGGAGAGTCGGAGCGACGAGAGCACTGTTCGGAGTCGGCCTGTAGTGCCAGTGCCAGCCCCAGCAGCAGGCGCAGCATTGTCGCATCGTATCGCTCTGCTGCCTGTAGTCTCCAGCCAGGCCAGCCAGTCCCTGACAGGACAGCGGCGACAGGCGACTCAACCAGAATACAAAAGCTTAGCCTCTCCCCTCCCCCTCTTTCCTGCCTCCCTTTGCCACCAGTCACTCAGCGAGAAAAGCGCTGCAGGTCGCCATCTGTTGTTTTAATGCAAGACTTTACTGTCAGTAGCATTCTGAATGGCCTTAACTTTGGGTAGGGTAGGAAAAGTAAGAGAGCTGACAAGTAATATAAATACATTTATTTATGGAAATGTGTCCATATCATTCACAGAGTGCTTCATGCAAATTTCAGAATCAAGATTTCCAATCCATTATATAAAAGTTCAGAAGCTTACATAATTTGGCATATTTTTTTCAGTACCAAAACCAAAAAATAAAATGAGTCTATTTTTAACTCTTGACATATAAAACACCCTTTGACATACCTGATTGACTAGGATTGACAAATAGAACAAGTGGATTTGTAGAACCTTTGATGTGAAATTAAATATAAGACACACTGCTCATGCCATATTCCTTTTATCACCATATGTGGCTTAAAAGCACATAACATCATGACATAGAATGCCATCATTAACATTTTGGGGTAGGCAAATGAGCAAGTAATGCAGTTACAAGTTTATGGTAAATCTTAGGTCACTACATGAAAGGATGTTAGACAATTTGCTCACATTTTTTCAAACCCTTAAACGATTTTCTATTCAAAATAACTCCAGAAGATCGTCCTCAGAGCTTCCAATGCTCAGTTCTTCAATGTCATTGCTATCATCAGAAGAAGAGTCCTCATCCTCTACATCACCCTGATCATCACCCGCATCATCCCCATCATTTTCATTCTGCTCATCATCAACATCCAGATCATCAATTAAGTTCATAAGACCATTAGCATTTAAATTGTCATCTGACGAACCATCGTCACCACTATCCATTTCATCATCCTCTTCATCTTCCTCCTCCTCCTCCTGAAACAAAGAGATAGATTATTAGTTGAAAGTAACTAGTTACCATACTCTTGCTTTGTACAATAACTGTCTTATTAATAACAACAAAATGCTCCAACTTACCGCTTCATCATCATCATCTCTGCGTCGACCGACATCATATACTCTAACACTGGATTCCTGGATGTTATCAAACATTCCTACATTTTCCACAATTGCTATTTGAGTGTCAAATTTGTTGCAAGCAATGCAATGAATATTCTTTTTGACATCTATAGTGGCAATGGGTGAATAATCATACGCATCCAAGGTTCGGAATGATGATTCAAATGCTTCCTTGGAGTCATCATTCTCCTGCTCCATTGATAAAGTGTAAATGGCAGCACCATCAGGAGAAAACACAAGCTCACAATGGTCTAAAAGTGGAACTGTTCTTAGTAAATGGAATGTTCTCAGGTCCCAGACCTCAGTGTTTGCAACAATTTCTAAACCATTTGGATGGAATACACCACTGATACTCTGGTTCAATTTGTCTAACTTATGAATTTCCTTTCCTGAGTTAACATCCCAAAGCACACCGTCAGATAAAACAAGTTCATTGGTGGGGCTGAATGTTGCTCTATTTTTAGGATATTGATTTGATACTTGAGGTTTCAGGGTCATTAGTTTTTTCCCAGTCTCTAAGTCATAAATCTGAAAATTAAAAAAAAAAGTTTTAAAAAATACATAATAAATTTGAAAATTTCATGCACACAAATATTTAAAATTTCTTACCGTTGCTATTTGTGCATTTGTTGCTATTAACTTGTCTTGATCTTGTTTACTAAACTCAACATATTCTTCGTCTCCAAGAGTATACCTCATGTAAGGAAGAAAAAAATTTCATTATTAAAATAAAACACAGAACAAAATCAATAGAAGAAAACTAGTTCTACTGCCATTTTAAATGCACAAACATACCTTGATTCAAACGTTGTGTTGTTAATGGACCATAAAGCAGACAGTGGTGGTCTCCAGGTACAAGAGCTTAGTAGGAGTTTTCCACTTTTATGCGGTTGTAGATTATTAATGTATGATTCGTGGCACTGAACCGTTATCTCCTCTTGCTAAACAAATAGAAATTCCAAAGACATAAATAAAGTTTATTGAAAATCATTACTACATATTTTGACAACTCTGGGAAAAAAAATGTAACTTACCACTGTGGATTGCAAATTATATAGTTTTACTTCACCCTGGTAGGTTCCAACAACCAGTTGTTGCCCATTTGGCTAAAACAAAAAAAAAAAAAAAAAACAGCATTATTTTTACCAAGAATAAATACAGAATGACGGTGTAGAAGTACATAACTCTCTAAAGCATACCAGAAAGGCACAGCATGTGTAGAAACTATCCTCTTCTGCAGGACGGAAAGTTCTCACAGGACAAAATCGGCTGTGCACTAGACGACGATCCAGGCGGAAACCATCTGGACCACCAAATGGAGGGAACACCGACCGTCGAATGTTTCTCATAGCAAAGTTAATAGGAGCACTCCTCTTTGCCTTAGGATCAGGACATTTATGCGGCCTGTAAAATTAATAGAATTCAGTGTTAACATCGCACAAAATGTACCATTAAAAATCCAAAGGAGAAAAATAAGTAGTACATACTCAAATAAATTAAATTGGGGACAAGTTATCATAGGATTTTTGCAAAGAGCATGCTGATTTGTAAGGTATTCTGTGATAATAGAATCTAGGGTCACTTGGTTTTCAACCGTGGGAATTAAACTTGAAGCGGCAGTAACAGCTGATGATTTCAATAAGGGAGAAGCGGCCCCAGGTGTAGCTTCATAGGTTATTTGCTTCTGTAGAGATTTGCTGGCTGGACTATTCATATACAGGCTCTCTCTCCTGAGGCAGAAAGAAATAAAATAGATCACACACAATGCCAGGAAAGCACACTACAAGAGGAAGAAAAGAATGAAAGAGGATGGTTTACCTATGGCTTGACAAACTTAGTTTGATTGGTACAGGGGTGAGTGAAGCAGAAGCGTCACTACTGGCTGCAACCGCAGGTGAGGCAGCAGCTACCGCTAGGCTCTGACTACTGGAGGAGCCACTGGCTGTTGGAGTGCCAGTGCTTGAGACTGGGGAGGAGAGGTGAGGAGAAGAAAGGGGTAAACGATGGAGATGATTGGTCAAAGGGGATGCTGAAGATCGTGGCTGCAAATAATAATACAAACAGTTTGAACCAACTTGAAGGCAATGAGGATCAGGTAATGTTAATGACTGTTAATGGCTGCAAACTACCAACCCTGATTGCAGCAGGGCCAGCATTACGCTGGTATGAAAAGGGTAAAGGCACTGAAGGTGGCAGGGCTGGTTTTGGAGAGGGCAAGCCTGCTTCCTTCAAAAGTGTAGCAGCACTTTCATTCATTCCCTTTGCCACCAGATGCTGATGAATCAGCTGGAAAAGTTGCTTTTCATTGAAATGAATGCGAGTTTGAGCAATCACATTAGCCTGAAAGGACAAACAACAAATGTTTAAGAAAGATAAAACAATAATGTAACAAGGTAGAACATGGCATAACAAACAGTCTTTACCCTGTGAATGTTTGCCAAAGAAATCTCAAACTCATTTCCAGAAGGTTTTGCTCTTCCAGAGACACGCTCCAACAATTCAAGTGCATACTTTTGGAAGCTGACATGTTCCTGACGCTTGTCTTGGAGAATAGGATTTTGCATCAAACCTGCAAAATGTAATGTTGTGAAACACACTGAGGTAGAAGCAAGTCCATATGAACTACAGTTCCTACATACTTTGAAGTTGACCACTGATAAATAAGGGTAGTTTTCCAATAATCTGCTTCACAGTTTCACTTCGTGCCAAGCCTGCTAAAGCTCGGCAGGCAAGAGCTCTGATAGAATCAGCATCAGTAATCGGTGTTTTCACAGTCATTAATGTAATGAAGACCTGCAAAAATTTTGATGTATATTTTAGCTATAGCTATTTGGTGCTTGAGGAATTATTTGGTATTTTTAATAAGTCTTACCATAATTCCATTATTGGACCGAACACTATCCCACATCTTCAGAATGACATCTTCACTTAGACGGAAATTTGCCTTTTTTCGAGCATAGCCTGAACCAGAGAACCGAGCTATTGTCCCTCCAATCTGAGGAGAAAAAACAATTTGTGAGAGACAACCTTAAATTAAAAATAAAATGAGAAATAATTTATTTAAATCAAACAAACCCTGTGAACTGGTGCGCAGACACAGTTGATAAGAACAGACAATGCAGATCTTTGGACATCAGGATCAGCGACTATTTCTCCTTCTGCAGCCCCCAAGATTATGTTCATGCCAACTGTGAGGCCTTCATCAGGCATTGAAACTTGCTCACAAAAGAGCAATTGGACTTGAGGCATGACAGAGCAGATAGATAGAACGTCCAGAGCACTGCGCACAGTTTCGGCACTGGAAAACACATTAACACTAGTTAAGAACATGCAGACACAAAATGCCCACACCCAACCAAAATGCCGGACTCCCTTGTAGATCACTCATGCAATAAAAACTATAACAGTCTCTGTTATGGTACACTCAAATGTTCAACAGAAACTAGACAGTAACAGAGAAGAGGATCCATCAAAAGTTAATGAAAAGTTACATGTATTAAATTCATGCCTTTAACCACAAGTTGAGAGGTAAGGCTGTAAGAATGGAATCTGTACAGTTTATATATAAATGTAGTAAGTACTGGTCACTCACAATGAAACAACTGTTTCACTAACAACATTTGCAAATATTAGGGCAAAGCTGTTAAAAATTTAAGATGTTTCCATCCACCAGTTCAGCACTACTAATATTCACAACCAACAAAATCATCACCCATAAAAAAATTGGAATATTGAATATTGTTAACTTGAATTGATGAACAGCACAACAAACACACTAAGAAAACAACAGTGTAAAAGTTTAGTAAGGAAAGGAACCCTGGCCATACATTCGATGGCATGCTATACAAGGATTGACATGACTCACTCCCGTACTGACCGGCCCGAGTAGTTCCATTCGTAGGCGAAAGCGATCACCTGCAGAAGCAAGGTCACGCCCCCCAAACGAAGCAACTCGTCGACCGGAGGCCAATTTGCTCTAAACGACATCAACTCAAGGAGAGTTTCAACCTGTTCTTGAATCTCTTCTGGAGTTGATTTTGTAGCCTGAAAAAAAGAAAAAGGGTGAGGAAAATTAACATACTAATGGACTGTGAAGTTTAAAAACGACAGAACTAATATCAAAGTAAAAGCCTACTTTGTAGGATGGCATATGTTGAAGTTGTCGATGATCGTCGCTTTCGCGCATGTGTGCTCTTCGCAACTGTTCGGCACGAATGTACAAGTGAGCTTCGAAATAGCGTTTCAAAGCAACACACACATGGCGAACTATTTGCCGCGCTGAGCATTCTTCATCCTCATTTAGAGCAGCTTCTTCCTCAGTGGACATGATGGGCAAAGTGCTTACCTGGAAACATCAAATTGGGAACAATATGAATGACCTCTCTTCAAGGCGAGGTCTTCAAAAACAGAAGAGAAGAAAAAAAACAAAACATACCACATTGTAAAGCTTCCGCAGCCCATCCTGACTATCAAACTCTTCAAGTATTACTCTAAATTGGAAAGATAGTCCAAAGAACATGGTTGCATGACAACGGCCAGAATCATGGGAGCATTCCAAAAGCCAAAGGGCATACCTGTGAAAAAGGGTAAGAAATTTATTTCAACATACAGTTTGCCAGATTACTTACGTTCACAGCAGTAAGAAGCAGCTATGGTGGTTTGCACTTACGTAACAAGATCTGATATAATATGTTGTGGAAGAAGACAAACCCTTTCAATAGCATCCTCACAATATGCGAGATAATAAAGGCAGATAGAAACACCTGTTGCTGCTATACTTGGACGAGGAACTTCTAGAAGCCGCTGTAATTTTGAAAGGGCCATATTTACATAGGTATTTACAATCAAACTTCAATATAATAATAATAAAAAAAAAAGTTGTGTTTAATTTTTTTAAATACCTGGAGTCCGTGAACATTAATAAACTCAATAGAGAATTTTTTGTGACACAAGAGAGAGGCTAAATATTTTAGTGCTTCAAATGCAAGCCTGGCATCCTTTGATTCTCTAAGGTTTGTGTACTTTAAGATGAGTTCTAAGGCATTTTGTTCAAACACATGGCTGAGAAACTGTAATAAATAATTTATTGTTTATTTTTTGGGCAGTTTTTTTTTGTGCAAAGTACATGACTGTTGTGTACTTAAGCAGTTACATACCTCTTGATATTCTCCCATAGGAGTCAGGTATCGTAAGATAAACATCTGCTGCGTGGCTATGTTCAATGGGTACATCTGGATAGAGCCAATTACATAGTTCTCCATTTCAGCCCAGGATGAATTACTGCACTCACTGATGTTACTCGAAGTCTGTGAACAGAAACAGATGCTCGCAAAACGTTTATGGCAGACACAATGCTATTTAATACAGAAAAAAAATACAAACATGGAAGGGACTGCGCAGAACGGAGTGCTGGGGTATGGAGTGGGGTGGCGACATGATAGGACCTCGTGTCTCCCTTCCAGGAGTTGAAGGTGGTAGCAAGCCAACACCATCAGGTAGATCTTCTTCTGACAGTGTGACATTTACTTTTGCTGTAGATTTTGAGTCTCCTTCATCTTTCCTCTGTGATGCACTGTCACCATCTTTAGATGGCCTTCTCTCTACCTTGTCCCCATTGGATGAGAGTGTGGTGGGTCCACTGTTCCAGTGGGGAGGGCTCATCAATCCATTATCTTTACTGGTGCTGTGAGGCGCTGAAACATTGAATCATTGTTAGGAACATCAATAAAACATTCCATAATGTTCCAAGATAAAAATTTATGCCCTAGATGCTCACATATGTCAGTTTTTCTTTTCTTCACGGTGGGGGTGCCCACTGAGTCTGACTTGCCCTCAGATTTTGAACCTAGATGAGCAAAGGGACGGCTGGAATTCATAGCGGCAAGTCTTTCTTCTTGAGCTTGAGCTTGAATAACATGTAACCGCTTCAGCATTAGTGGGACTAGTTGGGAATTCTTCTCCCTGTGAACAGAAACATTTTACCATCAGTTTGCCCTCAAGACTAAAAGCAGGAAAGATAAGAACAAACCATGTCTTACCGAAAAACAACAGCAATATCCTGAACTTCCATGGCCGCTGCTAGCAAACCAGTTGCATAGGTTTGTAATGGCTCCGGAGCCTCTTTGGCCCAGCCAAAGAGGCGGTTAACCAGAGCATCATTGCTAGGCTAAAACCAAACAAATGCAATTAAAACCCTAAACAACTGATTAACAAGGATACTAGATGTGCAGATTCTTACAGTTTCGAAGACAGCAGATGTTTCCAAACCAGGAGTGATGTCAAGCATCAAACGACAGGCGGCAATATTTAATTCTCTTACATTCCTGCCTGAGATTCCCAGACGAGCATAATAGTTGTCTCTTAGATAATCATTTACAAGCTAAAATATATAAGCAAAGACAAAAATTAATAGAATCAAGTTTGAACAACAAGTAACGGAACAGGAAAATTAGGAAGAGAATTGCACAATACCTTATTCATAAAAGCATCCTTGCGAAATATGACTTTGAGCATATGACCAAGGGAACAGTCTGGATCTGCACGAGAAGGGTGACGCTCATCAAATGGGTCAGGATCCATTTTTAAATAATTTTCTGTTTCTTGTTCAAAGAGTTCGGCAAGTCTAGAGTACATAAAAGGCAAGAGCCCATTAACCCTGAGTGTAAAGGACTCGCAAAGATGTTTTACCATGCAATTTACAGACACAATCTGAATCTGTTTCACATACCTGGTGAGTATTGGGATTGGGTCATGATGTGGATCATTGTGCCCTTCCTCCCACAGCCGGAATATGGCCCCAATGTCAGTTTCAGTGGATAGATTTTCCATGGTTAAATTCAAAATATCTGAGACAGAAGAATTTCAGAGATTCAAAAAATTATAAGAGAATATTGTCACATCTTAAATTTAAAGGACAGGAAAATCACAACTTTCAGTCATAACTGTGAATGGAGGTGAAGTAAGGTTGTCGTATTTAGACCCACAGTCTGTTTAGGAAATTTAATATTGAGAGAAACTCTAAAAAAAAAAAATGTATTTCTCTCAAATAGTTTACTCTTAAATGTCACTGGCATGATGTAGATGACAAGAAAGACAGCTGACGGACCCGAAACTTCAACAACAGTTCAAGTGGAAACAAGGATGTCATGGAGAGTGTAAACAAACGAGTAGGACAAAAACAAAGAACTGAACAGCGTTTGTTACATCAGTCTTTTGGAGGTTATGATGCATCATATGTTGCCACAACACAAGGCAATTGATTGAGTAACAAAGACGCAACAGAGCAACCCTTAAAAATAAAAGACGCAACAAAACGAGAGGGAATTTCAGCAAGAGTAGCTAACAGACTCCCAACAAAGGCAAACAGAGGATGAACAACAGTACAGCAGCATGTTCCCCGGAACCTTCCGGCCTCGTGTTTTTCCATAAATACGGTATTACGCAAGCCAGTACTCACAAACACAGAACCAAACGAATGTGAAACGCCTCGCGGCAGCTCAATTCCTCGCTGTATTACGCAGTGTTCAAGGCAGGCAAACAATTTGCGGTATCACGACGCATGTTCGGGTTGATGCGAGGCGCCAAGCAAAACAGACAATTTCGAGAACAATATTCAGACGTAAATATGAATGTGGTGGCTATGGTGACGAACGGCCGATTTCTCATACCGACGCTCGTCCACAGTCTAGCCGCCACTTCCGCTGCTGAGCCTTCCCCACGGCTTCCGGCTGATCGGGCGCGGGTGTTTGAGTGTCGTTTGTCAGTGTTCGCAAGATTGCCTCCAGCTTGCCTTTAGCAGCAGTCTATCTGCACTGCACAGGGCACCGGCCACAGCGGGCAGTGCATCGGTTCAGCAACAGTCCACGCCCCAACGTTTAGCATTGGCATTGAACGAAACTGAAGACGAGTTTAGACTTCCTCAAAAATAAAACAGCCACTCCTGGCTCAGTTCAAAGAGGGGGGGGAGGGGGGGTCACCACAAAATCTCTAAAAATGAGAACACCGATGCTTTTCAGATGTTTTGTATTTCATTATGACAAGTTAACAAACATGAGAGCAATCAAAGAAAAAAAACTAGTGTTGAAGGGACATCCTCATTATACACATTGTACAAAGTTGCAACGGCTGCTGTCTGGATTCAAGCGGGTCTCTGCAAATTACATTACAGCAGCCTTTGCAACTTAACTACTGGCACACATCATCACCATCTGGTGCTGGTGCCATATTTTTTCTTAACACAATTATTACAGAACTAGCATGTTATGTAGCAAATTTCAGGTCATGACATACTATTTTCACTTTGGAATAATTCATTTTATTTCCTTTCTAAGGGAAACATCACACAAGTACAACATCATAAATGTAATATTAAATGAGAAATGTGTATAAAAATTTGATGCATTCAAGATACACTAATAAAAGTTACCATGAACCCAAAATATGCACAAAATCACAAGAGTATGACCACAGTCATGGCATGGTAACATCTTTGTGTGTTCACAAACACACTTTTAAAAACCATTCATGTTGAGCAAATTGACAACTTTCTACGAATTTAAATACATACCTGTAGCATAAAAATTAACAGGTTACATTCTAACATTTCAAAAAACTCATCGCCTTTTTTCTCATTTAAAATTCTAATCCAACAAAACTTCATAAATATATTTTGCGTATTCCTTTAGATTCAGAATTACATAAAGCTGCTTAGTGATAATATATGGCAACTTCACAAAAATTTGGAGTAAAACAAATCTAATTACTTTGAGCATTGTATTTAACTACATCGACTAACTGGACTTGCAGTTCCAATATAATATAATATAATATTTGATATTCTAACTTTTAATGCACAAATAAGTAACTGTGGTACCAACTTTTAACTCCGTTACATTCTACTAAACATATAATCACAGACGCAATGCTGTAAGAGATTTCCAGGTAAAGAGAAATCACAATGTCATCTTGCCAGTTAACTTGTAAAATAATTTAAATAAAACTTGCATCATAGGCAGAGTATCTACATACTGTGGGAAGGTCAGATTAGATCAAAATAAATACAACTGCAATCTCAAAGGGAAAGGAAAAGAAAGAAGAGTTGATATCAAGAAAAAAGTGCAATAGATGGACAAAAGAAAACCTGGGTGAGTACTGCCTATCTATGTTCCTAAGTATTTTATTTACACATGTAACCATCAGACTGGACAGCTCACAAGCTATCACATACATTGTTGGACTATAAAAATAACAAACACAAAACATCCAAGACATAAAAACAAGCGTCATACATTGTACAGATAGTACTATGGTAAATTCATAAAATAACATGAGTTATTTAAGCAATGAGGTGTTTTGACCTTCTGAAAATTACAGGAATTTCATAAGACTGCTACTGCCACTACCACAGAGCAGTATTTGGAGAGAGCAAATCCCTTGATCACTGCAAGGATTTTCTAAAGCAACAAGAAAAATAATCCACTAGTTTGAAATGCATCACAAGTGGCTCACAACATGACATGTTTTCTAATTGAGAGGGGAGGAATGTGCGATTGGGAAGAGAACACACAGACTACATTTGTATACTGAAGCCAGTATTGAGCCAGCAAAAACTACCCATAAAAAGTTGATTCATACAAGGTGTACCTTCTCCAAATTGAAAATTTGACAATCTGAGACAAAGCACCAAAAGAAAACTCGGTCCCTGATGGCAAATTCATCACCTGCGAGCTACTGAGTAGCACATACCACCATCTTTGATGAAAGAATTGAAAAGCAGATAAAAAGAATAAATGCAATTCCCATTTATTAGTCTGGGATTTATTCCAGAGAATTTCATAAAATTTATACCTAACACATATTTTAAAAATGGATACCAAACGCACAAGCACCGTACAGCGATCAGACTAACAGCAAGTAATGTTGCACTTTCACGAAGTATGGAGCGGCCGTCGGTGGCCTAGCATTGTCTTAGAGCACTTGCAGAGACTACCAATTTTCTGCCGATCCTCACATTAACCTCTCTTCACCTTGAGTACTACCAAACTGATGGTCAGGAACAATGCGATCCAAATGATGGTGGCAAAGAAGCCGTTGTACACGTCAGGTTCGTTAATTTGCCATCCACGCGTGAGCATGCTGCGCAGTGACGTGGTGGCCATGGTGAGGGGAAGTCCCAGCGAGATGTAACGCAGAACAATGGGCATTCCCTCCACGGGCCAAATGACACCTGCAACACAATGGTCCCATTAAAATAGAAATTCAGACTAGCCAAATTTAAATTAAAAAAAAAAAAAGCTGAGTGACTACTGACCACTGAGCAGAAGGGTGGGGTAGAAGCTGCCCAGGGCGAGCTGGATAGCGTTCCGCTCTAGCTCGCAAATCGCAGAGATCACGAAACCTGAAACACGCCAAAGGGAACATGTGGGAAACCACCCTCAACTCAACAAAGTGGCACTGGCCACACCACACCATTTTCCGAGGCGCTTACCGAAGCACATTCCACAGAGACCCTGCAGGATGGTGAGGATGATGACCCAGAACATGTCGCCCTTGCACTCCACCTCGAACACGGCGATCATGAAGATGAGCACGAGCGCGGTCTGGCCGCACATCACCACGAACTGCGTCACCACGTGCGAGAAGAGGATCTCGAAGGGCGACACGCCCGCCACCCAGGACCGGTCCAGCAGCCCCTCCATGCGCTCGATGATGAGCGCGGACGACGTGAGCGCCACGGCCAAGAAGAAGACGATGGTGAGGATGACGCCGGGCGCCACGAAGTCCGTGAAGCTGGGGTTGTTGCTGCCGTAGATGGGGTCCTTGAACTGCAGAGGGCGAGAGGGTTAGCCGGCACACGGAGGAAGCAAGGACTTGAGGCGGACTCGCTCAAAACGCACCTGGATGGGGATGTCGGCCAGCTTGGGGTTGTTGTTGCACTGGGACAGCAGGTCCTGGGCGAAGTCTCGGTACGAGAACTGCAGATCTCGGTTCAGCATCAGCCCGATCTGCTGGTCTGCAAGCACGGGGAAGTTCCGTCAGTCCCTGACAGCATTGTGTGGAGAAGTGAGACGCGTCAGTCGCACGCCAACTTACTGGACATGTCGAGCCAGACGCGGATCTCGCTCTGGTCCAGCGTCTCGTTGTCCGAGCTCTGCCCCAGCGCCATCCTGGCCACCAGCGCGTCCGTGAAGTTCTCGGTGAAGTAGAGCGCGCCCCAGGCCTCGCCCATGCGGACGGCGTCCAAGGCCTGGTCCTTGGTCTCGTAGTAGTCCTGCGGGGCAAGGGCCGCCAAGGGCCGGTCAGCGAGGAGCTCTCCTTCCGGTCGAAGGGAACGAGGCGGCGACACACAGTGGGCCAGAAGACCGGTGGAGGCGGCCAAAACTCCAGACGCGTTTTGAGCTCCAGAGTCGCTAAACAGGACTCGAACTGAACGTGTGACCCCACCAATAGATTCCTCGTTCGGAGAACAATCCATTGGTGGGGTCACACGTTCGGTTCGAGTCCCATTTAGCGACTCTGGGGCTCAAAACGCGTCTAGAGTTTTGGCCGCCTCCACCGGTCTTCTGGCCCACTGTGCGACACTCACCTTGACTATAGTTTCATTATCTAGCTGCTGTATGTATCGACAACTGAGCCAGGATAAGCTGCAGTTGTTATACACGGGGCACTCCTTGGTGGTGAAGTTCATCTCGTGGTTGACGATGGCGAGGTGCAGTCCGGTGGGGTTGCGTCCGATGGCGAGGCAGAACAGGATGACTTGCATGACGGGCAGCGCGAAGATGAAGAGCATCACGCTGCACAAGAGGACACGCGTTAGCACCGCGAGGCCGTCACCGAGACCGCAGTCCAGTCCGTCGGCCACTCACCCCACGTTTCGCCACATCCGGAGGAAGTTCTTCTGCAGCAGGGCGCGCATCTTGCCGCGCGTCGTCAGCTTGCAGCAGTCCGTGCAGTCGTCGCAGTCCACCACGGGCTCCGACTTGCCGGGCCTGTTCTTGTTGAGGGCCTGCAAAGCAGAGGCAGTGTGTCAGCGGGGGCGGCGCGGCGTGGCACAGTGGGCCAGAAGACCGGTGGAGGCGGCCAAAACTCCAGACGCGTTTTGAGCTCGCGAGTCGCTAAATGGGACTCGAACCGAACGTGGTGACCCCACCAATGGATTGCTCTCCGAACGAGAAATCTATTGGTGGGGTCACATGTTCGATTCGAGTCCTGGTTAGCGACTCTGGAGCTAACGCGTCGAGAATTTTGGCCGCCTCAACCGGTCTTCTGGCCCAGTGTGCGCGGCTGGAGCCACGAGGGGGCGCTGGCGCTGCGTCACTCACGTCCAGGTGGCCGTTGGACTCGTTGATAAGCATCTCCTTGGACTGGTGGAAGTTGAGGCCGACGACGCCGCTCTCCTCCGTCACGAACACGGGCTCGTCCTTCTTGTTGCCCCAGTTGAGCGAGGCCTGCAACACGGTGAGCATCAGGCCGGGGCGTAAGCAACACATGCCAAACAGTAACACCACAGTGTCGTGGCGTCCTAGCGCGCACGACGGTTTACCTCGGCAGCGCCCTCGCCTCCGTCCTTCCAGGCGGCATGCAGGAAAAACAATGGTCAGTGTTTCGTACGCGTGTACCTGCACTGTCGGTCGCAACAGGCAAAAGAAATGACCCTCCGATAGACCCTCGGCCGAGGCGGCTCAGAAGGCCACGCCGGCATCAAGTCCATTGGACACGGAGCATTGCGTTTGCAACAGAAAGTACCGCCAGCGAAAGGGCAGACCATGCACTACTCCGCGCGCAAGAGACTCGACGCTTCGGACAAACCTCGCGCATCGGGTATAGACAGGGTTTCCTCTTTTGTCACTGAGTTGACACTTACGCGAAGTGTGTCCAAAACAACGCCTAGGTAAAGCTAAGGCTAACGTACCACCGAGATGTTGTTGGTCATGTTGGCGTCCGGGACGCCGGGGACGGAGTTGCCCTGCTTGCGGCTCAGCTTGAGGAACACCTCCTCGAGGGACAGGCAGTTGTACGTCGTGAGCAAGGCGCTGGGAGACTCCTCGGCCAGCAGCTTACCGGAGCGCATCAAACCAATCTGGAAAGGGAAATCGTTTGAGTCGAGCTACCTCATTCACATAGAACAACAGAAAAATCGAAGCCCGGCCAGCCGGGATTCGAACCCGCGACAGCTTTCGCGCGCCGGCCGTTCCCTTACCGCGTGGGCCTGCCGCGCCTCCTCGATGTAGTGGGTGGTGATGATGACGGTCTTGTTGCCGTCCTTGGTGATCTGCACCAGGTGGTGCCAGATGCTGCGGACAGACGAGGCAAACCGTGAGCCCGCAAACTTTCAGCAGAGCAGCAGAACAAGGCGCCCGCAGCCCGCAGGCCCACGACACTTACCTCTGTCTCAACAGGGGGTCCACGCCGACGGTGGGCTCGTCCAGGATGAGCAGCTCGGGGTCGTGCATGAGGGCCACGGCGAAGGACACTCGCCTCTGTTGGCCACCACTGCCACCAGCAACAAACAATCAGCGTCAGTCACACCACAGCCCGCGAGTTTCATTCGTCTTTCGGTGTTTGGTCCTCACCTGAGGTTCTTGACCAGACGGTTCTGTGAGGGGAGATCGAGGAAGTTGAGCAGGAAGTCTAACCGCTCCTGGATCTCACTGCTGGGCATGCCGAAGATCCATCCGAAGTACATCATGGTTTCCCGGATAGAGAACTCGCCGAGGAGGGCGATTTCCTGTCAAACGAAAAAAAGAAACACCTTTGAAACACGCTCGCGCGCCAAAAAAAAAAACGGACACGGCAGCGGGATTCGAAGCCGGGACCTTACCTGCGGCATGTAGCCAACCCGTTTGCCGGGCACACCAGAGCCCTTGGTGCCGGGCTTGCCACCCAGCACCCAGATCTCGCCCGAGTTGAGGTGCCGCCGGCCGACCAGGCAGCTCAGCAGGGTGGTCTTGCCGCATCCGGACGCGCCGAGCAGGCCGTAGCTGCAACAAGCAAAAGGTTCAGCAACGTGTTCATGTTCGCGTTCGGGCTAGTCGGGGCTAGTCGCGGGGAAGTCCTTCTCCTCCCCGTCCATCAAGCTGCCAGAAAAAGAAACCTGTGCTCGGCGGCAGGCCACAAGGCAGGCCAGGCGGACGCACGCACAAGACGCGCAACGTTTTCGCCAAGGTTCGTCCTGACCGAGTGAGTCATCGTCCGGGGCCGCGGGGTCGGAGCCACATTCGCAGTCGGATATCCCGCGCCCCGCCGCCTCCATCGGCCCGGCAGGGCCCCTAGGCCCCCCAGCCCCAGGCAACCTAAAGGCAGCCCCGGCGCCGGCTGACGGGGAGCCCCGTCATCTATTCAGGTCATAGAAGCAGGCGCACCGCTTGCGAAAACAGACCGCCATGGCCACCTGGCGGCGCTCGCGTCGCACGTCTGTCTGGTCAGGCCGTGGCAGCTACGGCTGCCCATGGCGCCAGAGGCTCGGCTACATCGCAGCGTCCCTCCGAGGCTACTCTGGTCCGTTTAGGGGAAATGAAAACCCGTGAAAACCTGCACTGTCTTACAATGAAATTTGACCTACAGGTGTTATTCGTATGTTGCAGTGAATTCAGCGCAAGCATAATACGAAGCAATATTCCTTCGTAAGACGAATCTTTTTAGCTTTTTCATTGTAAGATACAAAGGAAAACCTTCGTAATACGAAGAAAAACCACCTTCGTATTATGCTTGCGCCATTTCCTTCGTAATATGGGAAATTTCTTCGTAAGACACTAAGAGTGTGGGCTGGGTAATGAATGAACACCGAGTGAAGAACGGGGTCCACGTTCGCGGGCAAGCCACGGCCAGCCTCGCCCGCACGCGCCGCTACAAAGACATGTTTTCAAAACACGACATTTCCCACGACGCCCCCCAGCCAAGCCGTCGGCTCGGGCGGACGGACGGCCTCACCAAACAAACAACTTTGGGGTGGGTCAGTGAAGCCAGCGGGTACAATGTTGGGGGTTCCGAGGGTACACTTTGAAACAGGCCACCAAACTTAAAATGTAGCCCGAAAAGAAAAAGGACGGTGTACCACAATGCGATTGGAACGCTGCCAAAACGCCGACTGGTGAAGTCACACCGCGAGGTGCCGGGGAAATTCGGAGTCGGCTTCAAGGGCGCGGAAGGCAGAGCCAATCGGACGACGCGCTTGTTGAGCTTGGGCAGGACCGTGCGTCCAAGTCACCGCCCCGCCGCCCGCCGCACTAACAAGTTAACGCAACCGTGCCAAAACTCCACTTCTCGGAATCGCAGGCAAATAAAGCAGTTGACACCTGCCGCGCCATTCAGAAAAGTCGCTTCTTCGCGCGCTCTGTCTCGGTCGCACTCATGCGGCTCTGCGTCAGGGTGCGAGAGAGACAGAGCGACGAGGGATTCTTGGGAATCGTTTGGCTGGGCGGGCGCGGAGCGCGGATCGAGGACTCATCCATTGACTTCATCTTAGCGTGCCAATGAGGATGTAACACTCGCGTGGCAGAAACGACGCTCGACGTCGAAACGACGTGCGAGGGCGAAAGGTGCCAATGGTTTCCACAATAACGCAAAAACTCATCCACAAGTCGAGGGGACACACAAAAAGAGAAAAAAAAAATCACTCCCACTTTTGGAGTTTTCACAGAAAAAAGTAAGGCGATGGGCAGGCATAAGGCAATTTGGGAATGGGAGCGATCAAACACGTGTGGCCGGCAAGGGGGACAAAAACAAAAAATAATTCACTTATGTCCTTAGTCGGTGAAATTAGTCCACGTTTCAATGCACGCACTCCAGGGCTCTAGCAAAAACTAGAAAGTAGATTTGCCAGCCAGCCGAGTTCAAGGTTAAGAGCACGGCCGCAGTGCCATGGCACTAAATTTTGATCTGTTCGAGCATTGCCTTTTTTGAAACCCAAGTGCAGTGCAGACGTTGGCAGACGAGCTATGGCTGCATTCTGAGCAACTGTCTCTAGGCCACGCTGTTGGTTTTTGCGCCGATTTCGACAGCTGAAGGCGTTAGCACCCGGTTAGATTTATTTTGACCTTGCACGACAGCAGCGAGTGACCCTGAAATGCAGCACGGCTAACACCTTACCAAGGAGTTTGGCTAGCAATTGGGAAGGATTTAAAGGATCAAAACCCATCGCCATAGCGAAAAACTTCCTTCGCAAGTTTGCCAAAGCAGCCAAAAACTTCCCAAAGGTTGAAGCGCAGTGGCGTGTTGGACCCTCTTGCTACCTGCAAGTTGGTCAAGTTCTGCTTTTTGGACACGTCCAACGGGGCATCGGGGGCGGTGGGCGGTGACGTCAGGCCCGGGGGCGGAACCAGCGCGAGGACACAAAGGGGAAGCAGGACGGCGGGAACGCGTAAGAGGAGGACGCCAGTCAGGACACTGTCAGGACGCGAACGGGACCGGGACGACCTCAAAGCCATGGGCATGGCCGACACAATGGCATTTCACGTATTCCAATTGACGCACATCTTTTTTGTCCGTGGCCGAAACCCGAAACGCGCGCGCCAGAGCCTAGCGGGGCCTAGCCTCCTTTCCGTCCAGGAGGACGGCGACGGGCGACGGCACGCACCACCGACCGAAACAGGTCCGGCGTCGCACAGTGGGCCAGAAGACCGGCGCAGGCGGCCAAAATTCGAGACGCGTTTTGAGCTCCAGAGTCGCTAAATGGGACAAGAACCGAACGTGTGACCCCACCAATGGATTGCTCTCCGGACGAGGAATCCATTGGTAGGGTCGGTTTGAGTCCCATTTAGCGCTTCTGGAGCTCAAGACGCGTCTGGAATTTTGGCCGCCTCCGCCGGTTTCTGGCCCACTGTGCGTCGTACCCCCCAGTGCAAAGGCCGCGCCAGCGTCCAGCCGGGCTGCGTCGCTGCTTCGCTGCGCCGGCCAACAGGTTTCTTGGTCGTCGGCCCGGCCAGGCGCGGCCCGGGGAAAACCCCCCAGCGGGGCCAGTCAGTCACTGCGTGCGCCACTAGGCAGGGCCGGGCAGAGTCGTCAGCGCGCTGGGGGCGGAGCGGGGCGGGGATCCAAAATATTCCTCTCCATCCGGTTGGCGGCAGGTCGGCCGAGGCAGCGCACGACGCAGTGCCCAGCCCTCCGTCGAGGACGGGGCACTGCAGGACCAAAACGCCGCGCGGCCGGCACGGCCAGTGCTGCCACCGCCGGCCACTGCCCTCTGCGCGCCGCCAGGGTCGCCCGGCCCGCCGGCCAGCCTCCACAAAACGAGCAGAAAGCGCCGCGCGGAATACTAAACGCGCACGCACTCCACGGCCAGGGCGGCGAGGCGGCGAGGCGAGGGGCCGATGGACAACGAGACCGACAACACGTCCGGTGTGGGCACGGCGATCGCCCTGGCGAACGGCCTGGCCGGCCTGGCCTGGACTGCAGACGCGAACAGCCCGGCGGGTAGGCAGGCCCGTCGCACAGCCCTGCGCGCCGCCGGGGCAGGTTGCCTACGGTGCCATTACCATTACCATTAAGGGCTAGACCACACATGATCGTATGCCATTTCGGGCCCGACACATGCTCGCCTGCACTGCAAAACGAGACATGGCCGTCCTTACTAAGGTGACACTTTATCCCGGCGGTTCGTTTCGATTCTTCGCAGCCCGGCCCCGCGGTCGGCTGAATCCGAAAAGGGCTTCCATCTCTGTCTCTCTCGCACCCGTGCGGAACGCCCCATGAGTGCGAGTGAGACAGAGCGACGGGAGCAGAGAGCCCGCAGGTCGCGGCCGATTCCCCAGCGCGCTTCCGCGGCCACGCTCTTCTTGTCGTGGAGCGACGCGCCTGCAAAGTGACGCACCGCGACCGCCAGCCTGCGCCAGCCGGTCGGGATGACGTCATCGCGCGTCGGAAGAAAAGAAAAGGGGTCACCGCGCAGCAGCCTGCGAAGCGCGAAGCCTGCACTGTCGGGACGCTAGGCCTGACGCCGACGTCACGGAGGCTTCACCGGCATCGCGTATTCCAGGCTAGCTGGACCACTCCCATGCCCGGCATGCTCTGTCTCTCTCGCACTTCTGCGAGGCGCCCCGCGAGTGCGAGAGAGACAGAGGCGCCGCTCGGAATCAGCCCGTCGCCATTTCCGACCGACCGCGCGCCACGCGCGCTCAATGCAATCGGCCCCACGGGGACGGCAAAGAAACCATGCGGCAAAAACCTGTCCAAGAAGCACCATTCTAAAGTTGACGCTTTACTGAGCTCAACTGAGAACCGGGCGTCCTGCTTAGCAAGCGAAGCACTTCCTTCGACTTCCTTGAAAGTACGAGGGGAATATATGGCCTCCGGCAGGGGCTGTGTTAGGACTAAAGGGGGCAGCGTTGTCCACTGACAGGGGGTAGAGACTCCGTACTCACATGGTGCCCTTGGCGACGGTCATGTTGAGGTTCTGCAGCACGTGGTTGGGGTTCTTGTTGGTGCCGTAGTGCTTGAAGGCGTGCCGGACGCACACGGCCTGCTGGCGCCGCGTCCACACCGAGCTCTGCTGCGTGACGAGGCGACGGCCGTTGCCCACGCCATCCTTGTCCACGTCCACCGTGGCGGGGCTGGTGGACACCACGGACTCGGGGCCGCCGCGCTCCGCCAGGCTGTTGGCCTCTCTGGAAACAAAAAGCAATCGGTTAGGAAACGTGGCGGGAAGAGGATTAGCTCGGCCGCCTCCGCGACAAGCAGGCCGTCGTGGCGTCCGGGATGTCCGCGGGGCGGCGCGGCGCGGCCAGGCGCGAAGACGCGTGTGACGCCATGGTCGCGGACGAGTGGCTGCTGGCGCCGCCACAGTGGGCCAGAAGACGGGTGGAGGCGGCCAAAACTCTAGACGCGTTTTGAGCTCCAGAGTCGCTAAACAGGGCTCGAAACGAACGTGTGACCCCACCAATGGATTGCCCTCCGAACGAGGAATCCATTGGTGCGCTCACACGTGCGGTTCGAGTCCCATTTAGCGACTTCAGAGCTCAAAACGCGTCTAGAGTTTTGGCCGCCTCCACCGGTCTTCTGGCCCACTGTGGCCGCGGGCAGCGCGCGGGCGTGGCGGGCGGGGAAGGCCCAGTTTGTCACGCCTAGTTGGCGGCGGCACGCCACTAGCCGGCGCAGCCAGCCGGCGAGACGACGCTTAGGACGGCGACGCACAGTGGGCCAGAAGACCGGTGGAGGCGGCCAAAACTCTAGACGCGTTTTGAGCTCTGAAGTCGCTAAATGGGACTCGAACCGCACGTGTGACCGCACCAATGGATTCCTCGTTCGGAGGGCAATCCATTGGTGGGTTCACGCGTTCGGTTCGAGCCCTGTTTAGCGACTCTGGAGCTCAAAACGCGTCTAGAGTTTTGGCCGCCTCCACCCGTCTTCTGGCCCACTGTGCGACGGGGAGGCAGCCGGCACTGGCCGAGTCGGGCCGAGTGCACTGACCACGCGGCTGCTGGGCACCACAAGGATCCTTAAGGATCGCCCCGGCCTTGTCCCCCTTCCCGGCCGCCTAGACGCACCGCGCGGCCGCAAAAAAAAAGTAAAACAAAGATAATAAAATCGGGAAACTGGGTCGACAGCTGCGCGGAGAGGGTGACCGCCTCTCTGCTTTCTGCTGGCTCGGCTGTGAGCCCTTTCCACTTGCAGCCGCGACAAACGCGCGTTCTGCAGAGCCCAGCCCTCCGGCAGCCCAGCCAGCAGTATTTCTGCGGCCCGAAGACATTCCCCGTCGAGACAGCAGAAAGTAAACGTGTCGCAAGGGTGCAGCGCTGCAGAGCCAGACCAGAGCGGGCCATCTAGGCGGCCCAAAGCGTGGGAAAGCGAAAGGGCGCCGAAGGGGCGGGGCCGAAGGGGCAACCGGGTCAAGGGCAGGCGAGGCAGGCCGCAGGGCGACGCCGGCGAAGCACTCCCAGGACACCGCGGGGCCCACGGGGGCCGCCCCGCACAGTGGGCCAGAAGACCGGTGGAGACGGCCAAAACTCTAGACGCGTTTTGAGCTCCAGAGTCGCTAAACGGGACTCGAACCGAACATGTGACCCCACCAATGGATTGCTCTCCGAACGAGGAATCCATTGGTGGGGTCACACGTTCGGTTCGAGTCCCATTTAGCGACTCTGGAGCTCAAAACGCGTCTAGAGTTTTGGCCGCCTCCACCGGTCTTCTGGCCCACTGTGCGAGGGCCGCCCCGTCACCGCGGGAAGGAGTCTAGCCGCCGCTCTTTTTCTCTTCAGACTCCAGCGCAATGTCACCCGCAAGCAACCTTGCTCCAAAATGGCCTACCACCTTTTGAAAATCAGTCACCCCGTTCCAACGTCCATTTTCGGCCCCGCCAAATGTAACACAAAAGTTGGCCGCAATCAGTTTTGAGTGAGTTTCTAGCACGGCCCGAAATCATATTTTTGAGAACTGAGCCTTCACACATTTTCGACGAAGGCACTTTCCTATTTTTTTTCTACAGTGTATTCATTACGACCGAAGGCAAAACCCCTCCGCCCCCACCCTCCTGATTACCCACACGTGGTTGAGATCCTAACGCAGTCCTTCCTCTCTGCACCGCCACGGCAGGCCACGCCGCCACGCCACGCCACGCCTCCACGGCACGTGAGCAAGCGGCAGAGTGTTTGCACTTTCGCCACGGACGGGCCGAGGCACGGCGTCGTCCGCCGCGTCCACGCCGCGCGCAATGGGACCATCAGCCTCCTCCAGACTGGACAGAGTGACGCGATTACTTGCGTCACTGCGTCTCCGTCCCCCTCGAAGGGACGGACGGGCAGACGAACCGACGAGAGGAGCGCCAATGAAGCAGACAGAGCGCGCGCGCCACCGGCTGCGATGTGGCACATATCGAGCACCTGAGTCAGCAGCGGGGCGCGCGCGTCACGTCAACACAGCCAACACGCAGTGCGGCGGCACTGGTCACTCCTTGGAGCACCTGGCGCTGGCTGGCGCGGGCCGCGGGGCCGCCGGCCAAAATGCACGCACTTCCAGGACAAGGCCCTGGAGACCGTCGCGGTGCGGCGGCGCGGCTCGCCTCGCCACGGCCCGGCGCGGTGCACAGCACAGTGCGCACGGTGCAGGCCGAGACAAGCCAGTGCCCCGCCAGGCTGTGCCGCCACGCCAGGCATTGCATCACAGCCATACCAAGGCTGCATGCCGCCGCGCCGCCGTGGCGCGCCAACCATCCCTTCCTCATAACGGCCCGAGAAAGAGTTAGCAAAGCTGTGGCGAAGCGGGCGAAGCGCCGAGAGGGAGGCGGCGGTGTCAAACGAGCTTCAGGGCTGCCGCCGCTTCAAAACGCGCTCGCCCTTTCCACCACCGCAGCGCTGGCGGCGCCAGGCCGGGCCGGGCGAAGGACGAACCCGATGTGCCAATTTGCACCTGATTCAATGTCACGGCCAAACCGCGGCGGGCGGGAAGGGGTTTCGCCTCGACAACCAAATGGACGGGGTTTCTGTTGCAGCCGGTCGTGGGGGTATTTAGCATACTTGTGCCTCTAGGCCACGCTGGCCCGGCCGGCTTGGCCGGACAGGCACGAGAGAGACGCTACACCCACAATAACAGGGAAAGTAGCGATACACATCGGCAACTTTGGCCCGTCCCGTACATTAAGAAATGAGCGAATTGCACTTATGTTTAACCCCAACGGGATTTGATGCTGAGTCTGGGGTCAAAATAGATGGTATTTTCTTCATCAGCGCCCTTAGAAACATGAGAAACAATGCAAAAACGTGAATAAAAAGATGGTCCGGGATTTGAACCTGGGTCGAAACTTCTCCGATTCGATCGAAACTAGCACCGTTGGTTTCGTCTCGTCATCCTGATTCCAAAAATATCCCTACGTGCTCTTCTAGCTGTATCCGTTGCCGAAATCCTTCGACCCCATGTAGACCACGATGCACCTGCAGCAGCGTCCCCGGGGCCCCGATCGGATTTGCTGCCACCGGGCGGTTCTTAGGGTCACCCAAGGAGGCTACATACCAAATTTGGTCAAGATCGGACCACGGGAAGTCCTCGGACGGACGGACGGACGCACAGCATGCATCATACTATATGCCCGTCCCTCCGGTATTTTTTCTACAAAAAATACACGGGACGGTCCAATTACGACACGCAACGCGCCGTGACCCTTCCAGAAAAAAGACAAGGACCGACGTCTGGCGCGTGAGAGAAGGAAGACAAAGACCGAGATACAGTCCAACTGCCAGACAGAGGAGCACGTCAACAAATGGCGGTGCAGCACGAGGCGAAATTTTGTTCGACCCGCCAGGCTATGTTGTCAGTAATAGGCAGGGACCTCACGCTGCACCGGTGCCGAAAGGGTTACCCACCTCAGTCTACCATTGAGCACACCCAGGTATCGCCGACTTAAAACGCGCAACAAATCTGGGCTAAAGGTTACGAGCAGGTTAAAGGAATCGTTCTGAAAGAATCTACTGAGAAATTCCAGAAGCAAGAAAAATATGGGCTACCCTATAGTTTCATGACTGATTCAAAAGTTAGGCGTTAAATCTTAGGCGTTAAAGTTTCAAGTCTTATCCCCTTGGTTAGTTCAGGATCCCCTACGGAGCAACGTCCACACTGTGGCCGCTGATCCCGGGGAGCGCCGCCAGGATGACACTCGCTGGCCTTCGCCGCGCGCGTTGCAACTCACACCACACTGTAATGCCTCGCTCGCCACTCTTACGAACCCTTTGCCAAGAAGGTTGCATTTTCGCATGTTTATGCACGCTCTGTCATTTACAAATCAATTCTTCGCGACCCATGCTTAAACAAAGCACTCTAAATGTTGTACAGCGAAGATTCTCCGTATTATGGTGAATATGTTCCATATTATGGTGGTGCAGCAGGCTTCGAAACATACCATTGAGAAGTCACTGTACCTTATAGATATTTTGACGAATTTCGTTGGTATTATGGAGAAAATCTCCAGCATATAATATGTTGGTGCAGCCTCTCACCGTAAGACATTTACAGTGCCTTCGTAAGTCGTGCAGTGCTTCGAGCATCGCGTGGTGCACTACTACTGCTCGCTCTCTCTCTCTCTCTCTCTCTCTCTCTCTCTCTCTCTCTCTCTCTCTCTCTCTCTCTCTCTCTCTCTCTCTCTCTCTCCGTCTGTCTGTCTGTCTGTCTGTCTGTCTGCGTGTCTGTCTGTCTGTCTGTCTGTCTGCGTGTCTGTCTGTCTGCGTGTCTGCGTGTCTGCGTGTCTGTCTGTCTGTCTGTCTGTCTGTCTGTCTGTCTCTAGCTCCCCCGCACTACAGCGTGCATTGCGTCTCCAAGCGCGGTGCCTTGCCTCCTCTCGGCGCTTGGCTCTGCCTGGCTCGGCCTGCAGGCGGATTCCGCACGGTGCTCTCGTCGGACTGTCTCTCTCGCACTCTTACGGGACGCCCCGCGAGTGCGAGAGAGAGAGAGAGAGAGAGAGAGAGAGAGAGAGAGAGAGACTTGGCTTGGCTCGGCCGCGACGCGCTGCATGACCCTCGCGGTGCCTCGCGCTGCACTCGTTGCGCTGCCCGGGCGGCGTAACGCAGCAAGCAGCAACGCGGTAACGTGCATAAGGCGGCACAGTGCGGTAACAGCGGTAGAAAGCGAGACCATTCAGAGCGCCGCGCCAAAAAGCTCTCGAAAAACGGCTTGATAGGCCGGC